CAAAGCGTGAGGTTCTCTTTATCCTCACCCTTGAAGGTCATAACGCTCACCATGAGCGGCCTATGTCGGGAGGAGTCATCCATCTTCAACGGACGCAGTTGACGCCGACATCTTCTCTAGGTGATCTAGCATAGCATTTTCATAGCTCGAAAACGCCTCAAGGCGCGCGCTTATCACTTCGGATCCGTGCGAAGCTATGTGTTGCACGCCCTCAGGGCCATGCAGAGACATCAGTTTTAAGCCCGTCATACATACCCGGAGTAAATTGGAGAATTGCTCCATCTTCACAGAGGATCAGTCGTAACGACTCTGGCGTAGATTGACTACGAAAGCTACCAAGTGCAGCGGGGCTATCGTAGCTCTTTGCTTAGAGGAAGCTTACTTAGGTCACCGACCTTACGTTCTATACTAGAACCAGTACGAGTGTAGCAGATCGCAATTCGCTACGTCAAAAGTACGCAAAACCTTACCAAGGCAAATGTCCTCTTCCGTTTAAAACTAAAACTGTATTTTCTTTTTTCATTTGCGGCAGAATCGCCTAAACCCAGAACCTTAGGCTCTCCCGATCAAATAGTAAAACCTAATTAATATGCATAACCACTGGCAGTCCCGCCACGTAGTGGCTTCTTGTTACGGTGTAGCCACACCACTGTGTGATTACACTGACTTGTGAAATCCACAAATTTTTACGGTCCCACCATCTTTTGTGACCCACCCTTTCATACCAGAGTAAGTGTAACCCCGTTACACCAACGCCGACTTCTTCGTTGGATATATCGAACACTACCCGCGGTAATTGTCATCGGATCAACAGGGAGGGATATTTGCTCCTAACACACTCGCAGTAGGAGTGTGTGGTGAAGCTGCGAGTTTTAGCCGGAGATCACGCGGTCTTGGATATGCTCCAATTGGGTCAAGAAGCGATAGCTCAACGCTTAGCAAATTTTGCTGCGTATGAGCAAGAATTATTGGAAATTCTGTGATAGAATATTCGGACGCCGGTTCCATCACCTCCTCCACAAGTGGTGATGATACCGTCGGTACAGACGGAACGTCCCTTGAAAATCAAGGTGAAGAGCTTTCATGGGAACAAACATGGAAATCTTGCGTTCTGGCAGCGAGAAATGGATATCGCTATAAGGCACTCACATATGGTCCTCCTAATGCAGAGGTCTTCCGCCAGAGCCCGACGATTTTGGAAGCTGCAATAACGATTGAATTGTGTGAGGGCTACTGTGAGCATCGTGTATGCGGTCAATCGGTCACCCAGATGGAAGTAGTGACTGAGGCTACCAGATTTAAGGATCCAATGGACTTAAGAGGTGTACTGTCCGTAGTCAGCAAGTTTGCTGCTACGGATGATGGAAAATCGGTCACACCCGCCGTGATTATCCACGAGCGAGACAATCCATTTAATACGGCTCTCGCCGAAATGGTTTCGAGTCACGTGGTACAAAACCACGAGGCGTTTGGGATACGCCAGTACCCAGTAGACCGCCCTGCGACTACTGGGTACCGTAAGGATGTCGCTATCCATCGTATGTCCGGCTGTACACAGTATATATACCTGATTCGGTCGATGGATATCACCAAATCTTGTTGAGAGAGGAGGACGTCCATTTGACGGCTGTTAGTACACCGTCTGGTTTGTTATGGGAGTAGCTTGTGATGCCGCAGGGACTATCTAATGCCCCAGTATGCTCAATCAGTTGGTCCCACATCTGTTTCGACCACTGGAGGCTTCGCACAGACCTATTTGACAATATTTTTATCCATTTGAAAAACGTAGATGGCAGATCTATCAAAGAAGTGCGCTTGGAGCACCTCTGTATGGAGCTGGAAGGTTAAAAATCATTGCAAGCGAGTGTATTTCTGGTGCTAACGAAGTAACAGTCCTCAGTCGTTATGTTGGCGAGTACAGTGTTTGTGCAGACCCTGAGAGGGTCAAATCAATCGTAGAGTGTTCGACGCCAGAAATTAAAAGTATTTGAGAACATAAATTAATTTGTCCATTACCCGAATCGCATCTCGCGTCACTACGCGGAGATGGTACGCCCGCTATCAAACATGCTGATGAAGGACGTACCACGGGAATGGCCATCCACTTGCGATGTAGCATTCAATCAAATTAAGAATAGCTTAATGTAAGCACCATTGCTTGCTCTACCAGATGATACGAAGCCGTGTAGCGTAGTATGTGACGCTTCGGAGTGTGCAATCGGTTGTGCACTATTGCAAAAGGACGAAGAAGTATACGATCGTGTCTTGTTGTTGTAACAGTGACAGCTAAGGCCAGCAGAGGAACTACTCTGTCCATGACAAAAAGCTTCAAGCAATGAACTATGCTCAGGTAAATTCATGTGTTCACCTCTTGGGTTCAACTCCGTTTGTCGTCTACATAGAAAATGCAAGTTTTCGTCATGCAGTTCAATCACCTCACTTGTCACAGCAAATGGCTCGCTGGTTGTCATTCTTCGCAATATATAATTTCGCGGTCGCGTACAAGCCACCGAAATTGAAAGTGCTGGTAGACGCATTGTCACGTCGTCCCGATTATGAGCTAGCTCTTATCGATTATACCGAAAGCGATGTATATGCCAAGGGTGGGTTGTGGATGAATAGTGTGGCCTGATCATCGAGCACTGTCATCGAGTGATATGGAATTTCATGACAAGCTCCCTGGTCGCTTGAAATCAAGGGTGTATCGTTATGCATGGAAGGATGGTCTCCTTTACATTGAAATTGCACGTGACGACGAGCCACGGATTGTGGTTCCCCACAACGAGGAAGTAGAAGATGGTGTACGAGGCGCGTGATACGTCGATGAACGGTCTCTTTGGCCATGAGAGAACTACCAATCTCTCAGTGTCCAATTTTTGGTGGCACCGCATGTACAAGTGGGTGGCACGATACGTGAAGACATGCGATGTCTGTCAGCGCGTGAAGAGCGCAAGGCACAAGCAAGTGTCATTACAGAGTCTTCCTGATCCTACTGACTGTCGGAAGTCAGACGACCTCGACTTCATTTTCAGCCTCCCCGAGAATGCTGACGGCCACAATGGGGTGCTCAAAATTGTTGACAGACCCACAAAGATGGTTCGTATTGCTCCGTGTGGCGATTCCATCGATGCCAGAGGTTCGACTAGATTGATCATTGATCATGTGTTGCGCAATCACGGGTTTCCAGACGCCATCGTGATGTTCGATTCACTCGTAGCTTCTGGAAAGAAATGTTCGAATTCTTGGCACCGCTCGTACATGACCACAGCGGTCTACTCGAAGACCGATGGACAAACAGAACGAGCCAACTGAGCGGTCGGTGGTGTGTTGAGAAGTTTTTGTGGAAAAAAATCTCACCGAATGAAGTTCGTTATTTTAAAATCTCACGGAATGAATTTCGTTATCATCATTGGTTGAGTTTGCTATGAACAATCCAATTCATTCATCCACTAAATTTACGCCATTCTTATGAATGTTTGCGACACCCGCAAATATCGCTTTGTGCGATGGGTGGCATCTTTAATGTAAGTCGGGGGGGGGACTCGGCAAATCGTTGTCTCCTAAACTAACACACCAATGATGCGCATATGAAACGTAAGTATAAGAATGCCCTGGACTTATTCTTCATGAGTCGTGTGATCCCAAGGGTGTAAGACGCAATGGCGAATGCGCAAGATCTGCAAAAAGGAAACGCAGATTGACGAAGTCGTCAAGGCAAAACAAAATTATTGTGGAGGATTGTGTGTTACTTCGTACTAAGGATCTATTAGACGACGCGGTCCCAAGCTAAAAAGGCTAGAAGCTTTTACCTCGCCTCATCGGTCCCTTCCGATAACTGTCATACCACGAGAATGCGTTTACTACTGATCTGCCAAGCTGGTAAAGGACCCATCTTACGATTTACATAGGGCTCCGCAATATCTAACCATTGCGACGACGCGTTTTTTATCCTGTATGTAGCGCAGTCTTGTCCGAAGGTGGCTTAGAGCCACGGCTTCGGCACGAGGGTTGAAGGTTAAACCCATTAGCGTCGTCGCCTCAGCATCGCCCTCGGAGGAACGAGAATAATCTTAAAGCCCGAAAGAGAGCGAGATTGCTTGGTAGGAGGCCCTCAATCGTCGGCAAAAGCAGCCAGAACAGCTTGCAGAGCCTACCCAATTTGTGGACCCGATCCTAGATTCGTCCCCAGGTGAGTTCCCATGACGCCATACAAAGTCACACACTTCTCGAAGGACCTGTCGGTTATCCTTTACACGTTGTCGTGTCGACGACACTTGATCGGTCACCTCGATCAGCCGCTGATTCATCAGCGAGAGAAGCTCCTCCACCTTCGTCGAATGCAGTGCAGAAGTGGACAAAGGCTTTGGAACAGCCAGAAGGGACGATCGTTCCGGCCACACACCCTTCTTCTAGCTCGACAAGAAATGCAGACGAGCACATCAAGAACATGGTAGCTGAGAGAAACGTCCGCGGTCGGAAGGAACTCCTGGTGAAACGGCAGGGGTACCCAGCGAGCAAGGATACGTGGGAGCTCTGTACGCGTATCTGTCACGACTGTCCCAGTATCGTTCGCGCGTTTGATGCGGGTACGAAGACGGACTTCGTTTAGGGAGACTTCCTTTCTTTTGTTCCCCTGTCCTCTCGTCGTTAAGTCGACTTAAAACTGATCGCACTTCTACGGCCCGCTGGAAGCAAGCAACACGCGGTAGAGCGTCTCAAGATCTAAGCCTTCCTCAAAACCTGGGTGTACACGGACGGGCAATTACCGTTTTAGTGAAGGAGTAGCTGGTTTTGAGTCGGAAAGGACCATCATGAGGTACAGTAGAACATAGGTATGTCTCCGTAGTCAATTATGCGTACGCTACGACTGACATTTTCTCAAACGCTCTTGCCTGGAATCCCGACCGTTAGTACCCAGCCAAAGGCGAAAGAGGCACGCTTTAGACAAACTTTCATCTGCACGGCACAATTGAAATTTAGCTTTTACGATTTTGGCGTTTTTTAATAAATTTTGAGGCCTAGGCTAGTTTATCGTACTTCACTTTGGGACTTTCCCATCTCTACAATATGGTGGCATGGACATTATATTATGGCTTGGGTGTGAGCACGAATAAAAAGGCTCACAATTATTAACGTACTCCATACACGAGCGTAGCACCGAATTCGCTTCTTTGACTGCTGCTGTCCGGCTAGAGAAGTTTTCGATACAGCGGCTTGTCAGCAAGCTTAGATTTTGAACAGAGTAGCAAGTTAGGACCTTATGTATATGCACCGCACTAATTGTTTAAGGATCCAGTACATAAAATTGGCTTCATAATTCTTCGTTAAAACGTCGCACTCATAGCTAAAAGCGAACGATGCGGTGGCAAATGTGAGGCTGCATTTCACATCAATATTATTTCAAATTTGTTTGATTTGCAGTGTCCACAGGCATCGTTCATAAACGAAGGCTAAATTTGTAATGTCACCGAAGATGCTTGCATAGTCCGCTGACTTTGCAGTTTTTTTATCTGACTGTCGCGGAGCTAACCTCAATTTCGAAGATGATAAAAGGCTCACAACATTGTGGACCTCGCTTCGATGTGGGCCATGTCCATGACATTTGACGGAAACATCAAATCGCTAAAACTAAAAAGTACAATTATGACGCTGCTCGTACAATGCATAACAATTTGCGTAAACTGGAATTTATTAAGTACAGCATTTAGAAGATGTGCATCTTTATAATGGACGAACTGCGGGGCTCACTGTAATGGGTACTACAGACTGTCGTTTTTTCATTTGTCGTGCCACTCCTACTGATAATCTTTTGAAGGTTGCGATACTCGTCCTTAGAACTGCAAATTATTTGACCGTCCTCCCAGCTGTAGCGATTCCAATTAAGGATGGAGATGGCCCACTGGTCCGCGACTTCCCGCGTTGATCCGGCAAAAGTTATCGTCCTTATTTTGCCGTCATTCATGGGTTGCCTATTATTACGTCGACGATTGGGCAAGTTTCGGGATTGAGCGTCAACACGAAATTGGTGTGGCACCTGACCAAGTTCATCAACTGGGGGAAGTAGGAACACGTCAACCTTGGATCCTGACAAAGCAATAGCTCCAAGCAGCTCGCCACCCATACGCGAAAAATACTGTAAAATACCCTCATCGAGAATGCAGTAAACCGTACGAGCTTCGTCACCGTCAATCTTAAGCAGATATCCTTCGACGTTGCCTCCGTAGCTCATGATCAGTATATCGTGAATGGGCAGGATGTCAAAGACTGGCAATTCGTAAATTGAGGATGCTCATCATGAGGGCATGTAAGGGCAAAGCGGACAGGAGCATGACCAGACGCAATGGATGGGTGTCGTCCATGTGTTTCGAGGACGACAGCAGGTCCAAAGGTCAGACGATTGATGTAGTGCGACACAACACACGAAATCCAAAATAGGCTTCAACACGTGGCTTGCTGAATGTGTAGTGACGCACGAAGTGAAGGCTTATACGCATAATGGCAGATCTCGCACTTAGATAATGAAACCTTTTACATTTCAAACTAACAATATTGTTCTATAGTTAAAGCCTAAATCGAACAATGACAACGACGCAACGCGTGCGAGCTGCTGATCAAGGGCCACTAGACTGGCTGGTACCATTCATTCCTCCCGCTTTCCGCGTGAATCGAGACACGCGTGCTGACATTCGACGGAAAGCGGCGCAATTGACGTCACGGGAGACACTGAAGAGCTTTGTACTTGCTTTACGTCCCCATTGGCGCTTTCTAACGCTTAGCTCGTTTGCGGTTGTCATTTGGATCAAGGGGCTAGTGTACATCCACAAACACGAGCCTGAATTTGCAGTCGCTTACATCATCGTTTCAGGCTTCTTTTTGCTTGCCTATCACTTGTTCATAGGAGGAGAAGTGCGCACGGATGACATCAGCGCATACTCGGTATTTAATCGCGGCGCTCAAAGGATGATGGGATCCTTGTCGGCAGAACAATTTGAGGTTTGGTGAATTCGATGCCAACCTACAAGAAATTGCGATCACTCACTTTAAATGTGCGCAGAATGAACTTCGCCACCGACAATTACCGCACGAAGATGCTTCGACTTCAAATCGACGTAGTGAAGCAGCGCAGAAGCATGATTATTGCGATGAGGCGAACAACGATGACGATCAGTACGTTGTGCTGCATATTGAATCTATGTATAAAAGACACTGACAATATCAAATGTGCACAGGGAGTTAATGGTGGCCCTAGCGCATTCGCTTCAAGAGATGAAGCGAGAGGCACGCCGAGCTCGACGTACTAGTCGCAAAAAGTAGTTGTTAACTCTACATTAAACGCAGGTCATGTATTAAGCAAAGTAGACCGATAACTCCTGCTTGACATGTTTCATCGGTATGCCATCAAGCACACCAAAGCCGTAAGGCACTTGCAAGTGTTATGGATTCCGTCACCAAAAGATGCAGTTGCGTATCTAGGTCATGGAATGTCTTGCTCAAAGTTATGGCCAAAATCGACAAATGCAAGTATCTCCATTAGCGCTGCAATATTCTGCGCAACAGTTTTGATCTCTATCGTTCTCACTGGCACAGCACTCGCCTTAAACTGCTTATTTCTTTAAAGGTATAGCAAAAATACAGCAAAGCTCAAATTGCACCAGCAAAGAAGATAATCTTGCAGCGAATTGACCTACGCAAATGAGAAGCCAGAATCCAAGTCTCGAATATAAACACAATTATGTGTTATGGAGTCGAAACCACTTTTGTACCAGTGGCTTTTATGTAGGCTAAATTTGTAGCACCTGGTTCTCGAATCACAAACGTTCGCAACCTTCACATAGTCACGAAATACTTATTGTGCTGCTTGGAAAGTAAATCGGTCAGCGAATTACCAGCAAATTCAGCGGTATATAGATGGCCATCCTACTTGAGCATACAGAGCGCGGGCTTTCTCCACGCAAACTATACCTTCGAATGCCAAGGATTTCTTGCATCAGAATCACGCACCCGTTCGACAAAATAATCAAGTTAGGCTAAATGTCAAGCTGAAAGGCTCATTTAGTCCGACGCTATCTTATGCAGTTTGCACTTCAACATCAAAGAGAACTTTGACAGTTTAGCTTTGATAATTCGTGATTTGGACTTGCTGACCCAATTAAAAGGAAAATCGACTTTTTTGGTAGCAATATAGATATACTCGTCACCAATTCGATTTCTTCGGTTCAATGGCAAGGTGAGCTTGGGTAATTGTATTAATTCTGGTAGCACCTTCATTACCAAACATGAGCACTTTGGTAGTCTCACTACAATTGGTCAGGTCGAGAGCAACAAATAATATCTCGCAGTCGGGCAATCTCAAAATCGCTTGCATTGGGTAAAACTTAAGATTCAGCATTTTTTTTACCATTGGAAAGGTCCATTTGTGCAGCTATAGAAACCAGAGAACAGCGTAATAAGCAGCATTAGCTCACTTTTAACCAATATTCCCACCTGTGATGATGCCGAAGGCGATCCAAATTAGAGGCTGAAATAGTGGCAGCTCCACAATAGAATTGTAGCTATTTTCGTTGTTCCATACGATTAGCAATGACACAATTATCACCAGCACAGTAAGCATCAGACCAAACATGACCAAGATCTAAAACAAATAACTCGTCAAGTGTATGAAAATTTGCAGCAATATCTGATACGGTGGTCTCACCACACGTCGTTCCTGGTTCACCATCTCCAGATCACTTTGCTGTGTGTCGAGTATTTCTGCTAACTCGTCTTCTGATATCAACTCGTCGTCCATGTCTTCGCAATCTTGCGTGTCCACAGCTGAATGTATCTCATTGTCTCTATGATCACGTACTCTTCTTGTAGCGTATTTGAAGATGAATATTGCTGCAGTCGTTGTTCCTGCCACCGCAGCTAATGGCCACAACAAATCGCGGATGTTGATCGGCATTCCGGATAATAGAAGTACTTCAAAAAATATACTGACAGGTTGTATATGATTGGTCATATTTTTGCCGCTTTCTGATGTCTGTTTCAGCGCAGGAGAGAATGTATGTTTAATCAATCATAGTACAGCCTTCCTTAAGCTCAAAATTCTTTTACACATCGACACTTTTTTGCTATAGGACCGATTATCATTGATGCGATCGTTTGCAAAGTACTCTCAGTGTTCCTTGTTCAAAAGATTACGCACTTCTAACCTGGTAGGAAGGATGTGGGTCACACAAGATGGTGTTTTCACACAAGGCATTGATACATAAAGTAGTTCGACTACACAATGGTGTGGCTACACCTAACCGAGAAGTCAGTACGTGGCTGGAACAGCCAGTAGTTAAACATTTATTAAGGTTTTTCTTCTAGTTCGGAAAACCTATAGATTTGGATATGGGCGGCTGTGCCGCAAATAAAAATGAGAAATTACAATTTACATTTTTATCGGAAGAGGTAATTTGCCTTGGGTCAAGGCTGTAGTTATAAGTGGATTGCGATCCGCTGCACTCGTACTGGTTCTAAGTATAGAACAAAGGTCGCCGACCTTAAGTACGCTTCCTCTTAGCGAAAGAGCTACGGCAGCCCCGCTGCACTAAAGATGCCAAATACGGATACGATCTTCAAGCGTCTCTCGACATGGAGATTGGAAAGGCTTTGTTGAACCTCCAAGTGAAGTCTAAAACTCTGAAATGGTAGATCGCTGTCAATTTCCGCACATAATTCGAGATATGATCTCATTCATGGCAGGGCGTGGCTCGTAAGCAACTCGACTGAAGTTGCCACGCCCTTGGAAGAGTCTAAACCCTCTTTGCCAGTAAAAAGTGCTTGCACGAAGCTGTGATAGATATACGGGATTTTCTAGATAGTTACAATAACATTGCTGTGAGCGGCTGGAAGTCAGAGCGGTAGTCGGTTAAGATATCATAACGAGACAAAACAGTGTGATTGTCTATCGCGGTCTTCGAAGTGTATATCTTTGAGCCGAGAAAGGACGACTGTATGTCGTGGTCTATATAGTGTATCTCTGACAGATTGTTGAAGTACAGTCAATAGCTATTGTTGCCTGGCCAGAACCGGCGGACAGTGGATGGACGGGGTGTCCCAATTTCTCGCGTCAGAGATGGCAAAGCTAATGTGTGAGTGTCAATCTTGTGTATGTGGACTGGGCTTTGAAGATAGGAAGAATGGCTCATTTTCGTCAAAATGTGATTTTTCCGCTGGCTCAGCGCCACCGTGTGACGGTCCACCTGCGTCGCAGCAAATCCCCACGGATTAGATGCGAGAATGGCCACCCATTCCTGAATGGAGTCATGGTGGTATTTCTTGAAGTTGTGAAACCCCTCCCACCCCCTTAAGCTAAAGCTTTTTTTAAAGCTGACAAAATCATCCTTTGGAGACATAATCGTTAAATTGCAAGACGGTGAGGTCACCACTAAAGTACGATTGTTTCCATAAGAGGGGCCAATCTCGTTATCCGTAATGAAATGATCTGTCATTGAGAAAAGTCACAGAACACTGAGAATAGCTACTTCCACGAGCCCTACGGATTCTTCTAGCCTTGATATAATGAATTGGCGACGAGAGATCCACCACCCATTACCTCAAACGGGGAAGCGTGGTGAAATGTCTTGGTCCCACAAATCAAATTTTGCGTCACACGGCAATGGTCCTCATAAATGGATCATAGTGATACTACCGACGCTTACCGTTTAAGTGACACGAAGCGGCTAGAATGAGAGTAAACTTCCATACTCGCTGCAGACTTTTTGTGTCAGAAGACTCTACGCAAATCGCGAATTATACATGCGCAGAATTAGTGAAATAATATGGTGGAAACGTCGAGTTTTTTCAAGAGACATTTGAAAATCAGCATTGTCTGTTGCCCTTTGTTCAGCGCCCTGGACATCGTTGGAGTTTGCCTCAACTTTCGATGAATAAAACTTAACGCGATAGCGGATGTTTTTGACGTGGCTGGTTATGTCTGGTGATGCAGCTGTTCATGCCACATCGTGGCTATGGACAAACCTAGTTTAATGGTATACCCGCCTGAAGTACGGAAATTCGGATGTGGACATTAAACACATTCGAGTGGCGCTCGACTGAACGCGCTAATATAACTTACTTGCCAATATAGAAAGTGTGTCACTGTCGCTAACGAAATCCCCTTTCTGGATTGCTTCTTCGGGATACAGGACTTGCGGAGTCAATCCCTCGAAAGTACAGGCCACTGTAGTTGGTTAGTACTTGCGGAAGTGTTTGGGTGTAACGGGGTCACACGTACCCTGGTAACAGGGGGGGGGTGTCACACGAGATGTGCATGCGGTGACTGCACCTAAACAAAAATACGGTGTGTGGCTAGGTAGCCAGTAGTTATGCATGTATTTAGATTTTACTATATATATTTAGTAAAATCCATACATTTAAAATCAGGCGGTTTAGTCGCAGATGAAAATAAATAAAAATCAGTTTTGAATTTGAACCAAAGAGTCTATCAGCCTTAGTTAAGGTACTAACTACTCTGGGAGGTAGCGGATTGCGATCCGCTACACTCGTATTAGTTCTTGTAAAGAACGAAAGATCGGTTACCGAAATTACGCTTCCTCAAGCGCTAAGATACGGCAGCCCCGCTGCATTGGGTCTGATCAATCACTTGCACTCGTACCGTGTCCACTATGCCGATATGCCACGATCCCTCCCTAATTTTCCTTCAAAGATGTTTCATGGTGTTATCATGCAACGGATGGGGCGGTCTTTAAGGCTCTGAAAGATATACATGTGCCCAGATTCTGGCTTTTCAAATCTTAACAAATAAATATCTGGTTGCTTGAGGGTGGAGCGTACGAACCCATCGTGGAATGGGTCTGTACTGTTCTGTTGTGATCATACACCTAACACTCACACAACAGTGCAAAGTACAAATTTGTACTTTGCACTGTTGTGTGAGTGTTTCTGTACGATTGTACAAAACCACATTACACGTTGTGAGTATCAAAGTATCATTACTTATGAAGATAACGGGACTCTCTAAAAAAGAGGTTATCAGTAATCGTGGGCTGTTAGCCTCACATCAAGTATCATCGACAGTCTTACCATTTGATATAGCATAAGTCGTATATTTAGTATCATTATTACAACTCATATTTGATGTTCTCGGTCCCGATGCTGAGTGAAATGTACGAACTCGACCTCTGTACGTTTGCGAACGAGTATTTTTTGAGCTGAAGCTTTTTTGCTCGGCGCACAAATCCTAATTCATATCCTCTGTGCATTCATTGTTTAACGCAGGCAAAGCGTTCTCTTTGCCAAGCCTAAAATGGTAATTTGAACCTCATGTAATTTATCAATGCTTGTGCCACCAGAACTCAATATGTTGGTTAGTTCTGAGTGGTAATAAAATAGAGCCAGACAGCCAAGAGCTAGAAACACTACTGTTGAGTCAACCCGGAAAAATTACAAGTAGTACTGGGAGAAAATAAGGCTTGAGTTGGATCAAGGTATCATTTGTTGTTTTGTCTCTAGGTTTTATTAATCTTTTTGATCTTGTTTACACAATAATGACAAAGCAAAGCTGCCAATGATTGGCGCAGCAACCTTGGCATTTCTCATTTAGCATGATTTCGACAAAGGTGCGATTGACAGAACTCATTAATCAATCTCCTCAATACAGGATTGACCAGTCACGCGTACCTATATACTTCGTTGCCAACAAAAAAGGTTGGAGCTATTGTGCCACTCGCTTACTCAAGGCGCAAATATTAGGTCTCGACACGGTGCGTCATTCGTTGGGTGCGCACTGTGAGCCATCAATTGACTAAGTGGTCGCCTTTGTAATAGGAAACACGCCCAATCAGGAGCAAAAACCAGCGCCGCAATCCATGTGCATTATTGCAGATCGCAGTGCGTGATGCCAGCGAAAAGGAGGAGGTTTTCATCCTTGACCTGTTGCACCTGTCCGTCAGCACTTACAATACCACTCTCACTAGTGTTTTTCTTTCAAAAAAAATTGTTAAATTGGGTCAAAGTTTTTTTCAAGACCTGCAAGAGCTGGCCCAGTCATATCCATCTGCAACCTGTTTCACAGTTTGCAAGAGCGTCGTGGAGGTAAATGACTTGTCCATTTCTCTGGCTGGGGCGCACAATCCGCTGAGTTTACAAAAGTTGGTTTTCGTCTACTTAAATCGGAAGCTCGCCAAAAAGCAGCAAATGTCCAATTGGGCGAGAAGACCACTCACACAGAGTCAGCTGCATTATGCCGCAGCAGATGCACTAGTATTAATTCATTTGCATGACGAGCTGTTGCTGCGCATTCGAAAGCAAAGGGCAGCCAAAAGGTTCCGATTAAGAGACGTGGCAAACATATTGGATGTGAACCTTCCACGGACTTTAAAGTGCTCCTTGTGCTTCGATGGTTTTAAGACAGCGGATGAACTGAAAAGGCATCGCCAGCTTTGTATTTTGGACATACGCACGCTTCTGATTTGTAAAGTATGCGGTATTACGAAGCTATGGACTCAAGAAGCCATGGCGGATCACTTGAAACGATGTGGTGAAGATGCTAGCGTTGACAGTACAGTTATGCAGTCAAATCCACACCACTTACTCTCCGTGGACAGCTTGAAGGACCTCCAGCCTCAAAATTGCCGTTTCAATTCAGCAAAGTCAGTTCAGTCAAAAAAGTGTTTTGAGTACGCTAAAAAGAACGTCGAACCAAATAAATCAGAGAAAATAGGAGCGAAGAAAAAAAGGAGTAAGCGAAAAGCACCAGCTACTGATGCTTCGTCATTAAAGATTGAGACGACACATGGAACGCTAGAGAACAAGAAGCGCAAGTTAAGTATGGAGTCATCACTGTTGGCTTCCGACTCCATGTGGTTGCAGATATCGAGTGATTGCAACTCGTTCATTACTGCGGCGTAGGTGTCGAAATAGACTATTCAGGTATACATTTATTCTTACAATTGTCGAACATTCTGTTTATTCTATCCAATTATTAGTAATTGAGTGAGTAAAGGAGTTGTGCATCGTAAAGTACTGACTCCATGTTTTTTATCGCTAAGAATATATCAACATTTCAGCGTATGCAATTTTAATCACAGTATAGGGTTCATAAAAACTGCCCACCTGGTGCATCCACGAACACAGATGCGTCATCTTAACTTCAGGCATTGCCATCGTAAGGTGCTTGACCATTTCCCAATTGTCGTCTGCTTGAATACTCAAGAAAAGCCATGGTGACGGTTTGGGATTCCGAAGCCGAAACGGTGGTAGTCGAACTCGCCGTGGAAGGCATGATGTGTATGAAAAATTGTGGTAAAACAGTTCAAAGTGCTTTGTGTAGCGTGGACGGAGTGGTCAATGCTGTTGTAAACTTTGAGCAGCGCAGCGTGCGAGTAGAGTGCGCATCAGGTGCAAGCGTGACGGAAAATGATTTGGTGGATGCCATCGAGGGCGTAGGCTTCGGTGCTGCAGTGAATATCTTAGAGTCCGAGAATGAGAAACAAAGATCATTGACAGTCGAGTTACTGATTGAAGGAATGATGTGTCAGAAAAATTGCGGATCGACCGTTGAGAATGCGCTGCAGAGTGTGAAAGGCGTGGCCAACGCCGTCGTGAGTTTTGAGCAGCGCAAAGCCACTGTGACACTTAAACACTTCGGCAGCACGACATTTGATGAGCTAGTAGATATGGTAGAATGCGTGGGCTTTAAAGCAAGTGAGTATGACGCCGCAAAAGCTGCAGCCGTCAAGTTGCAGGCACAGAAGCAAAAACAATTGGAGACTGAAAATGTGACTATAGACGTACCGGATGCTACAAACCACCCTCGCGCTGTATTTTATGTGGAAGGAATGAGTTGCGCTGCGTGTGTGAAGGCTATTGAGGATTATGTGGGTAAGGTCGAAGGTGTTCTGCACTGTCGTGTGGGACTAATTAGCCAGAAAGCTGAGATCGCGTTTGACCGTGACCTGATCAAGAATGAGCAGATTGCACTTCAAAAGCTTATTCAGAATGCTGGTTACAAGGCGACATTCTCACACGTGATTGAACCTGGAGACGACGATTCTCTGAAGCTCAAGTTTATTGTCACGGGTATGATTGATTCCGGCTGTGTAAATAAGATTGAAGAGGCCGTGGGCATGTTGCCTGGTGTGACGAAGGTGCTGGTCGATTTGAAATCTAATAAGACACACGTGCACTTGCAGCAGCTATCTAAGACTGGGCCGAGAGACGTACTAGAATTCATCAATGGCTTAGGCTATTCTGCTGAAGTGGCAGTAGAGAGGACAGATCCAATTGCGCGATGCAAGTCGGAGATTAGTAACTGGCGTAATCTGCTTACCACAGCCATGATTTTCTCTCTTCCTGCAATGCTCATTCACATGGTGTTCATGTATATTCCTCCAGTGGAGATGATTTTGATGACTCCCGTCGTAAACGCAGTAACAGTGAAGCTTTTGCTGCTCTTTTTTCTCGCAACACCTGTGCAATTTGGCGTTGGTTGGCGGTTCTACGTTGCCACGTGGGAAGGACTTCAGCATGGCTCGATGGGAATGGATTTCCTAGTCGTGGCCGGCACAAGTATGTCGTATACGTACAGTTTTGTATCTTTGATTGGTTCAGCATTACACGAGAACTATAACGGACATCACTTTTTCGAGTCATCAGCAATGCTGCTTACATTTGTGACACTCGGCAAGTACATGGAGTCGATGGCAAAAGGCAAGACAGCGGATGCATTGTCGGAGTTAGCTAAACTGCAACCAAAGACAGCTCTGCTTGTTGTTGGCAACGGTGCACGTGATCGCGAGATTCCGATTGAACTAGTGCAACGTGGTGATTTATTACGTATTCGACCTGGGGCAAACATCCCGACCGACGGTGTGGTCAAATCCGGCTCTAGCTCAACGGACGAATCGATGTTGACGGGCGAGAGCATGCCAGTGGCTAAGAAAGAGGGCGATCATGTATTTGGTTCGACGGTAAACCAGCAGGGTACGTTGGTGATCAAATCGAGCTGCATGGGTGTTGAAAGCTCGGCTTTGTCTCAGATTTGTGCTTTAATTGAAGATGCCCAGCTCAACAAAGCTCCAATCCAAGCATATGCAGACTGGTTGGCATCAATTTTTGCCCCATGTGTTCTCGGGATGTCAGTGATGACATTTATCGTGTGGATTACTCTACTTTCTGTTGACCTTGTTCCGGCTGAATATAAAATGGAGCTAGGTGTCGACGTGTTGCCAGATCACTCGGACGATTTGTACCTCGCAGTGCTCTTTGCCATTTCGGTCGTAGTGATCGCGTGCCCGTGTGCTTTGGGCCTGGCTACACCTACTGCTGTCATGGTCGGCTGTGGGGTCGGTGCAAAACATGGTGTCTTGATCAAAGGTGGCCGTGCTCTCGAAACAGCTCGTTACATTGACACTGTAATATTTGACAAAACGGGAACTTTGACTCTGGGACACCCTACTGTCCGGGATGTTGTGGTAGCCGATCGGACGTACACCCCTCGTGAGCTGTTATATTACGGTGCTTCTTTGGAGTGTGTGAGTGAGCATGTTCTTGGAAAGGCTATTGTTGTGACAGCAACGGAATATGAGATGCTTGAACTTCACGATCCCACAGAAGTACGCATTGTTCCTGGTCGTGGTGTTGAAGGTGTCGTGGCAGCTAGTCCTGCGACGTCCCGAACGAACTCTGTGAAGGTGCTGGTGGGCAACTTAGAGTACTGTGAGGAGAAAGGCATTGAAATTAGCGAGAAGATGCGTGTCCACATGCATAATTTGGAGCTTGAGGGTAAGACCGTCGTGGTGGTGTGTGTAGAAGACAAGTTGGTAGGTGTAATCACCTTGGCTGACGCTCCTCGACCAGAAGCCGCAGCTGTTGTGAAGCACTTAAAATCGATGGGATTAGATGTTTGGTTGATCACCGGCGACAATCTACGTACAGCCAATGCCATTGCACGTCAAATAGGTATCAACCACGTAAAGGCGGTGGCTTTGCCTGGTGAGAAGGCGTCTCAAATCAAAGCTCTTCAATCGCAGACAAATCCGATAACCATGAAGCCGCGTGTGATATGTATGGTGGGCGATGGCATCAATGACGCACCGGCTCTAGCTCAGTCGGACATTGGTATGGCTATTGGTGCTGGTACACAAATAGCCAAGGCAGAGGCTGACATGGTCTTGGTTAAGAGTGCGTTGACGGATGTTGTTGTGGCCCTGGACCTAGCTCGCGTTGTGTTTCATCGGATCCAAATTAACTTTTTCTTTTCAATCATTTACAACGTCGTTGGCATCCCACTCGCAGCTGGCATGTTTTTTCCGCTCATCCACCGAATGATGCCTCCGGCATGTGCTGGTCTTGCGATGGCTTTCTCATCGGTGTCAGTGGTCATGTCGTCGCTTATGCTAAAGAAATATAAAGGACCACAAATTTTTCAGACGAAAGCGATTAAGATGCATGATGAAGAATCGCAAAATGTAGACTTCAAGAACTTAATGCGAAGAAACCTTAGCAATATACGCTACGCGCCGTTGACAAATGTGGATGAGCAGCTCGCACAATTTAACGTTCCGGGACAATAAGTGACCAGATCTTGAGACTCATACGAGGAGGTATGATATGGTAGTTTTTTCAGATGTGACTGTTTTTCTCGTTGTAGTGTATTGCATAGTAAAGCGTAATCGTTCTTAAAGTTGAATGGAAGAATGAAGTAAGATGAATTGTAGCAGGACAAGAAAGCCACAACAGAAAAACTGTGTTGGAACCTGCACATTTAAGCAGTGGTCATTGCTATACTCACAGTCTGTGGGGTGTAATCGTGTCAGCCGAACACTGAGAAGAAAATGTGTAAAAAGTACTCTGTCGGCCAGCTCAATCCGGTAATATTTAATTGTCCTCGTGCAAAAGTCAGCAAACGCGATTGCATCTCACAAGCCTAACTCTTCAAAACGAAACCAGTTACGATTGTCTGTATCTACTATATTATTCACTGCCTGTGAGATTACAAAACCCAAGACCGTAGACTACATGATTGTATCGAAATCGATTCTTAAGTCGCACTTGGTCATTTGTTGTTTCGCATCGTCCATCAGCAGAGCTATCAGAAGCCAACTCAGAATTAGCTGATGTGCTCGCAAAAGATGCAATGGGAAAGCTGCCAAACATTTTCAGAGCCTTGCCAATGCTGTGCTTTTCTGAAATAAATTGTAATAGTCCACTTGCAAGACGTCGATTGCCATCAAATGTTGTAGCCCACTGGTTGATACTCAATGTATTTACTCCACAGAGTGTAAGAAGGAGCGCACGTGCATAAGGGTCTGTTTCGATCTCTTTCTCCCACGTTGGCTTCAAGATGTCAATTTTACTCTGTCGACGTGCACTCTTCACATTTTCAGCTTGATCAAGTAGTAGCAAAACTTGGCAAGTATGAGCAACATTCATCCCCGCGACATATTGTAGTGGAAGCCAAGAACCAAGAACACGATTCGGTCCTACGTACAAGAGCCCACCTCCAAGGCGAGCCACCAACGTCTGCTGCCAGTCACTCATACTTGGAATTTGGCCATGCCCGACTGCATCTTTCCAACCGTCAGCCACTAGCTTAACAACGCTGGTAATTGTCTTTCCTGTTGGAGTCCCTGAGTCTTCTTTGTACGGATCCACAATGACACGAATCTCATCAGGTCTCAAAGACTGCTTCTTCGAAGCTAGAAGTCGTTGATGTAGAATTTGAATCGAAAAGTCTCGTGCGATTGCATCGGCGGGATCAAATACGGGCAAAGCTTCCATCGGAAGACATGCGAAGGCCTGATCTAATAAAAGAATTAGTGTATTGCCTGCAAGATTATCTGCTAACTCCATTTTCATGGCTGAATGTTCCCAAAGAGGGTTAAGCAAGCCAATGGTGTCAGAAATGATGGCTGCAAATTCGGCTTCAAGAACGTCTTCGCCTTGATTCCCCTTTGTGTTGTCATTATTAGACATCACCATCTCGGTTGTTGGCATGAACTCAAATGTTTCGTTTTGTCCGTGAGCCTCAGCATATGCCAATGTCTCCTTAGCACATTTTTTTCTCCATGCCTGTATTCTTGATTGCAAACTCTCGTATAAAGACACGTGGGTGTCAGTGAATTCCATGCGGGAGATCGCAACACAGCTTTCAGTACTACCCAAAAAAGCCGCGTAAACGTAGCATCGATCAGGCGAAAAGTGAAGACACAGCAATCGCACAGAATGGGGTAGAGCTGTCACGATTGCATCCACATGAGTTCCGGCACTCATCCGCTTGTACGCATCCGAATGCTCTCCTAAATAAAGTTGAGAAAGTTGGAATGGCAAGCTATGAGTCTCTGCGCTTGTGTGTGTCTTCTGCAACTTTTTCATCCTCTGCAGGTGAAGGTGCTGAACATTTGTATTGGCTACACACTTTGTATACAAGGAACCTGCAGCTTCAATTACCTCAACACTTTGATGCACGAGCACATTTTTCGCACAGTCGAATGGGTGACAACAGCCAAGAACTTGAATGAGTTCATTCGAGCACAATCGCAATAGCTCAGTTGACTGCTTGTCAAAGGCAATAAGCTGATACTTTCTGAGTTCGGCTGCATAAGCAGTTAATTGTTCTTCCATTTGAGTTTCTTCATCTCCTCTTTCGTCTTCAGTCAACCTTTGGTTTTCATCCTGCTTCTCAGCTGTGTTTCGGCTTGCAATAATAGCGTTCTCAGCTTGCGTTCCATGACAGCAAACCCATGTAGCATCACAAGCGTCAGATGATGTGTATCGTGTCCATAAATGCGTATAGAGTGCATTTAATTTCTGTCGATTGTCCCCTCGGAAGAAGGCAAGACGTTGACACTGAAGTTTTAATACTTGAGCAATTGCATATTGCTTTTCTAGGATATGATTATCACTTAGCATAGCAATAGCAGAAGTGATGAACGTCATTGCACGTGGTAAATCAACCAATCTTTTACTTTTTGCGACGACTTCCGTTTCTTTAAGCCACTTTTTTACGACATCTCGTTCATTTTCGTTGTTGTATCGAAACCATGTCATTTCGATTTGCTTTATGGCAGCAGACGACAACTCGGGTGCCAGGAAATTTTGAGCGATTCGCAGTTTGGTCAGCGCGATCTTCCGCCTCAAAGGCGACACTAATCCCTCTTGGTTCTGATATTTGTCTGAATGAGGATCATTTAAATCTGACTGCGTTTCATAACATTTTTCCTGTAAAGTTAGAATTTCTTGTAGCATGAATGTCACATCTAAATCAGTGAGGGAGAGATCAACCCCATCATACGTTTGGCGAAGAGACTGCAATTTCATCACGTACTTCATCAAGTGCTGACTGCGCTGGTAGTGGGCATCGACGTGCTTAAGAATCTCAATGCTCTTCTCCATTGCTTGCTGACTTTCCTTTACATAAGCCAAAACGGTTGAGCCCTGAGATGCAGCAGCTTTTTTCAGAAGTATCGTTGCTTGTCTGAATTTTAGTCGAGCCAATAGTTGAACAAACGCAGCATCAAATTCATCATATGTCACTTCATCCCTGTACGTCTGTGTCTGATTTGGTGTAGTCAAAGCTTCAATAGCTCGTTTTTCTGCATCTAAGAGAGCACTCAATGCTTTGTCGAGGTCGGGGTTTAGCTTGCAGTAGCGCAGTGTCCACTTCAGAAAGCAAGACATTTCTAGCTGCGAAGTCTTCAGTGAACTCTCTACTTGAGCTAATGCTTGTTCATTTCGACCTTCAATCTCCAAAAACAAGCTAGATAAATATTTATACTTGCAATTCAAAAGGTTCGGGACATCACTGCAGTACTGTGTCGAAAATCGCAATATCTCAAAAAGAGACTTTGCCTGATGATGAAACCCGAATCGCAACAAGAGCTTTATCGACTGGAATGTTTTCAGCAGTGGATCAACGAGAGAGCTGCGAAGGATACACCGCCTTCGCAAACCAATGTCATCCCCCGACTTTTCAATAAATTGCTGTGCGCTTTGCAAATCTATAATTAATGAATCATGATGACCTTGAAGCATGTCGAGCGCATTTTGAAGCGGTATCAAATAGTTACTTAAGTTTAAGTGCTCCATGATGCTAAATTGAATGAGTTCCATCCATATGTGCGCACTGACAGATCGTTGAGGAACATACGTATGAAACACCATGATGTACAAGCAAAGTGGAGGGATCATGCTTGAGTATTGAAGACCATCTTTGCGCAGCATTACAAGAAGCCTCTCAAGATATGTTAAAGTTAAAACTGGCTGCGTAATGTGAACTAACTTTGATACTTGTACGATGTTCCACGGCATGTAAAATCGATTTGATGCATTCTCGTCGAAACTTGTAAAAAAATCAATCCAATCTCGTCTCGTGGTAGGTTTTATATATTTTGGCAATTTGTGCAATCTCCATTCATCAAAACTAATTCGATTCTCTTGCGCAAGATTGTCTCGCTCATATGCAGCACGAAAGTCATTATCATTTGTCGTGTCGATGATATATCCCCACGCGCTTTCCACCTCATTGAGCGCCAATCGCATGTGCTCTGATCGTTTGGTACAATTGACGGAAATAATCGCACGCATCATAGAAATCCGAAATTGCTTTTCAGCAAACCAAAGTGGAGAGTATGCAGCGTTTGGGTTTTCTTGATTTGAGATTGAGAGCTGATTGGAATTTTCTTGCATTGTTTCTGTTTCGAGCATTTCCTTTTGACATTGAAGTAACATTGATGAGGCAAACTCTAAAGATGAGTCAGTATCCTTTACGGCATGCTGGTTGGTGAAAAGCAACTCTGCAAGATCAAGAAGAACTAGCGCTTGTTGTTCTGTTTGTCCTTCAAATTCTATGTAAGTCTGTGATAGGGCCTTGAATTGGGCAGGAGGATTTTTCCATGTGACAGCAATTTTTTTGAAGATTTCAGCTTGATTGAGTAATCGATTTGATAGATATGAGGACTTCGAATCCGTACGAAGTCTCAATGTGCAACTGGACCTTCCAATGCGAGCGACTGATGTCGCCAACGACCTTTTAAGCTCGTTGATTACGGGAAACGACAGTGAAGGGCGAGAAGAAATCGATCCAAAAGTCTTAAGCACAGCCTCACAGATTTCATTTTGATCACGCCATTTTCTGGCTTTATCACAAATTGCAAGCGTGAGCAGGACCATTTCGCCATAAAAGCTAGTATTTGCCTGAGAGGATGCTACAACTTGGTCAAAGTAGCCAAGTGTCGTTCGCAAAGAATTCACAACTCGATCAATGTCTTTTACCAATTCGTTGCTTAAATCATCATTCATAACCAAGATTATCGCATTCCAAATCACCTCGCATGCTCGAATGATTAGTGAAATATCATTGCTTCGTAAACCATACTCACACGCTCGCACAAGATGTGTAAAAATTGGATTTAGTAGCTTGTGGGCTATAGGTTTCTCGTGAGCTAATGCCAGTGTCGTGCGCCCGATCAGCAATTCCGCAAGCGCTAACCATTTCCAGGTACTTTCTAAGACAAGTAATCGGATCGTTTTCTTCGATTTCTTGCCTTCACTCGCTTTTAAAACCAGCAATGCTTGCTCTGCACACTCTATAGCATACTTAAGGTGCTCAAACCGGAACGCACCATATCCGATTCGAGTCCAAATTTCGGCATAAAGTTCCATCAACTGCTGTTCTTCCTCTATTAAACGCTCAGCATCATTACTCATGAATGATGCAAACATTACGGATGCGTATGCATGCCAACTTGTGATGGCACTTTGATAAAATGCTTGAGCCTTTTCCAGTAGTTGCGGAGGCTGTTGGGCCACTGATAAGGACATTTGTCTAAGTGTTCCTTCCATTGCTACAAGGTAGACTACGATCGTGATGGGTTCAGTAATTTCATCTGGTGGAGTAATAATCTTGGCATTTTGAGCAATTTGACCTCTTACTTTAAGTTCGGCAAACATCTTAAGCTGCAGCACACTCATTCTCTTCTCGCCGATCTTATTTTCATAATTTCGCTTCAAAATGATATCAGCAATCGTTTGGCTCTTGTCAAATCTGTCGATCGTTTCATAAAGCCTCGAAAGACCAAGTGCCACATTGGCAAGAATGTTAATGTCTACACTAGCAGCAGCCGCCTCCAGAGCTGCATAAACGGCTTCGAATGCACTGACACATTCAGGCAATATCCATTGTGGATCAATTGCATCCATGTTACCAGAAGAAGCTTGAGTTACCTCTTTCAGCATCTGGAAAACATGATAGTGATGATTCCACAAGCAAATTGACACATTTTCCAGCATAAAAGCCCACCCAACTTTTGTTGCCATATTTAACGCCTTCATTATATTCTCAAGAATCAGGACTTTCACAGCATAAATCTGCTGTATTTTGGCTTTTTCGTCAACTGCAGTACCTCCCACTCCTGCGTCAATTGACGACAAAATCTCATTATTTATTGGACGATGTAATCCCAGTAAATAGGTCTCCTTTGATATCAATACTTTGGCATCGACTGATTCTCCGAGAGATTCGCCCGTCTGCTCAACTGACATTCGAGCTTGACGACGCGCATTTCCAGTGTGTATGGCCTCATCCTTAAGTCTCATTGCAAGAATTTCAACTAGCTGGAGTCGCATGTCAAATTCGGATAAAAGCAAACATTTGCCATCTGCATTGAGAATTTTATCTGCTTCGCCAGTCGGGAAGTAAGTCGACAACACCATATCAATCGTTTTTTGTGCCAGTGCACTATCATGCATAGTATCCCATGCAAATGACACAATTTTGCTCCATAGACGTACGCACGCTATACCAGAAGATAACTCCGATGCCCCACTGATTCTCTTCATCATATCAATGCATCGCATCAATACCTTTTGTTGCTGTTGAGTGTCTTTGCTCCCTCTGGCCTGTTCAAACATCGCAAGTACTTCAATTTCTTGAGAAGATGAGTCAGCGCCCAATTTCAAGTCTAATTGTTGCTTCATCATACGTAAATGTGTGTCAACAGGTCGAATTATCCAGTCATCATGTGCAGCCAACAAATCGACTGTCATGATTGTAACATCACGTGGACGTACGATCGTCCCATAGTCTAGAGCAAGCGCGTTGAAGATATTCTGATTTGCATTTAACAGAGAATGAGATGCTATTTCCAGTTTCGCTGTCTCAAGATACAGTCGAGCACGAAATTCAAGAAGTAAAGAATCAATTTTCTTTAATAACGACGATACCAAGTTTAAAACCCGCGCAAGGAGTTTACATATATGAGGCTGCAGCAATGGTAGTGATAGATTCCACGCGTAGATGCACACACTTTCAATTAGATGCGGATCTTGTCGACGTCTACTGGCTACCAATATACGCTCAAACGTCTTTATTGCCTCAACGCGATTAGCAAAAAGCCACTCTTTCTGTTGTCGCAGACTGACTTTGTTTACAGGATGAGGTGGTGGCAAATTGGCTTGCAGGATCGCATGAAGCGCTTGACCTAATACTCGCGTTTTGGGTGGCAACTTCTTGCCTTTGTGTTGAAGCACAACGTCACAAACTGCTGCTAACGGCACCATATTGCTGAATACTGCATGGATTGCAGTCTCGACGAGCACTTCAGTGTCGATGACTTCCAAAGCACGCGGTTCAAGCGATGACACAAACGCTTTGACTTCGTTTAACGAGGTTTCAGCATTTAGAGTCGTAAATCCCGTGACTTCCTGTATAATCTCCACATATGCAGCTTCTAATGAACCCGAAACGATGTTGGATTTTAAGCACTGAAGCTTCACCAACAGCGTCATTTTTTTGTCCGTTGATCGAATAAGTCGCTTGACATTAGGCACTATCTTCATACACTCACTATCTTTCAATGACCCAACGTGAATTTGAACTCGCAAGGCTTCTTCATACAGAGTCCTAATTGTCACGTCAGATGTGGTCGGATTAGTCAAGCGAGGTGTGATCTGTGTATCGACAATATCGTTTATCGTTTTTGCAGCATTTGTCAATACATTGGCATCAACTTGAGCGTACACAAGAGCGAGCTGAAGTTGTAAAAGCCAAGACACATCCGACTCGGCAGTCAGTTTTAATGCATTAACCACAATTGTCAAAGACGAAACGAGGAACTGAAATGTCGACGGCTTCATAAGCTGTCGAGCGATCTGCCAATACGTTACAGAAGCATTGTAGACGAGAAAGTCGTACTTTGGGCGCTTTTGTGTGCTAGTAGCAATCGGAATGACTGCCAGAATAAAGTGAATTGCATTAAGAACCTTTTTAAGCTTCATCACTCCCGTATCGCCCTGTGCCTCATGAGATTCACAGTGGGCTCGTATGAATAGAGCACGACAGTAAAACTACAATAAAGATGTCAAGTATGAGTTTTAAAGCTGCAAACTCATTCTGTATTTACCTGGTTCTTGATGTGACACTCGCTGAAAAACCACTCGATACACTTCTCTGCAGTATGAAAATCTTTTTGATGAATTGCCAGTTCACCAGTAAGGACCAACAGCTCAGGCAGGTTGATGTCAGCAGCGCTTTCTACGAATGGACTACAATTTTGCTGAGAAATGGTTGCAAGGCGTTCGAAAAGTTCTTGGACTGTCGGTCTTATTGAAGAGATTTCCATCTCTGGCGATCTTGCTTGATCTAGCAGACATCGTAGCTCACAATCTAGCACCATCTTCTTCACACAATTTACACTTCTACGCGACCTTTTAAACAATCTCTTCGAAGCACGAGTAAATCAAAAAATATATTTACGAGCCACCGCGCTTAGCTGAACTACACTGTTTCCGTCTTAGTTTTTCTTCTTAGCCAAACCAGACACAATGTCGTCGATGCGTAGCAGCATGCACGAAGCTTCCACAGCGGTCTTTATCGACTGCGTTTTCACCTGGAAAGGTTCCCACACACCGAGCACCTGAGATGGCGTTACTTTGCCAGTTACACCGTCTACACCGTATGACTCGTCTGTCTCTGCCTGCTTGGCACGGAGCGCCGTCATGACGCGCACAACGTCAGCTCCACAGTTTTGAAGCAGAGTGCGTGGAATTATCTCTAAGGCCTCACCCACTGCTCGGAACGGAAACTGTTCTATGCCTTCAATGTTGTCGGCACGCTGCTTTAATTTGTGTGCTAATCGCATCTCCGTTGCTCCTCCACCAGGTAAAAGCAACGGCTCAAACACGACGTTACGCGCCACTTGCATAGCATCCTGAAGGTTGCGTTCAATCTCGTTTAGAACGTCCTTGCTGCCACCACGTAGTAAAATGCTACAGGCCCCCGGATCCTTGCACTCTTCAAAAAACGCGAAGTATTCGTCGCCGAGTTTGCGCACTTCAAAAAGACCACACTTGGTGCCGATGTCGGATTCTTGAATTTCATCAGCGCGACTTACAATTGTCGCGCCCGTTGCTCGAGCTACGCGGTTATTGTCTGTCTTGCGTAGACGGCGAAATGCTGTTATTCCAGCTTTAACAAAATAGTGTTGTGCTAAATCAGATACACCCTTCTCCGTAATCACCACATCCGGCTTCATGGCTACTACCTGTGCGCACAAATTTTCAATGAATTCTTCCTCAAGACGAAGCAACGTATTCCAGTCCTGGTCGTTCGTAAGCTCCACATTTGTTTGGCTTTCTCCCTTTTTGTACTCTAAAGGGCAGTCAAGCAGGAGTACGCGTGGGTTTTCAATACGACGGCGCATTTTCGAGTGAGTCACGTCTTTATTGAACATGACGCCTTTCAGCACACGACTGTCTTCAAGTTCTCCGCCTGGAATCTTTTCCACTTTTGCATAGCGTTTAACATCCACTTCCTTTTGACCAGAAGGTGACGTACGCATCACCGTCAGTACAGCGTCTAGAGCCAAGTCGCTTACCAAGTTGCCAACGCGAGGAGAGAATTTGGTTCCAATGGACGATTGAACGAGATTGCGCATATCTTCTTTGTTTGCAATGTCGATAGGACGTGCTAGCTCCTTCGCAAATTCCAAAGACGCATTGAGCGCGCGATTAAAGCCACGTATGATCACAGTTGGGTGTACTTGATGATTCAAGAAGGGCTCCGCTACAACCAGCAACTCGCCCGTAAGAATAATGACTGTAGTGGTGCCGTCACCCACTTCTTCGTCCTGTGCGCGACTGAGCTCGATCATGCTCTTGGCCGCCGGGTGAGCTACGTCTACTTCACGAAGGATCGCGTTGCCATCATTAGTCATGACAATCCCACCCATGGGATCCAGTAACATCTTAAGCATCGAACGCGGACCTAAAGTTGTACGCACAATATCTGAGACGGCCTTCGCAGCCTCAATATTGCCAAGTTGCGCCGTGCGGCCCGTCTCGCGCTTTGTATTGGTACCTAACAATGGAAGCTTGTCAGAATACCGGAGACAAGGTGAAAGGAGTGGGGAGATACGTACTCAAAACCATAACCGGAGCTTGCATCATTGTGAACGATGACGATCTTAAAAGTGGCTGGCTGGATTGCGCGTAGATTAAGAAGTTGTGGGGTAAGATATATTCTCAGTAAATTTTATGTGAATTTAACAACTATTCCGTAATTATTTTACTGGCCCCACTGTATGCATTAATTTTTACCTGTAAAGGGTATAGTAAGAAATGAGTAGCACGAACACATTTGTATCGTTTAGCAATTCTGCAGCATCAAAGTGCAAACATCGCTCTCACTCGGACCGTCAATCCTGTTTAACATTGTCATCAAACCTTCCAACACTACCCCTCTCTTACGCTCGTGACATGAATCAGCCGTTAGTTGCTATGCATGGGTGTACATCGTGTAAAAGCAAATCAGTAATATAATTTACGGGAATTTTGTGATTGTATTGATCGATGGAGGTGCGGCAGAGCTGTACGAGTGAACAAAAAAAAGCGCTTTGTAAACGACGCATGAGCACCTCGTCACTTGATGCCAGCTTGGAGTGTATAAGCGAAAGAACTTCTTGGAGAGCGACAAATAACCATTTTGTGTATTTGAATATACATTAGCGCATGCTCCATTGCAATGAATTTCTCATTATGACCAAGAAAGCTTGACCGCAACGGCAAGGCCAAAAGCAATGCATTTGACTTGAAATCGTTTGGCAAAGGTAAAATTGAAACACGCTTACCATTCATTTATTCTGTCAGGGCCTCATTTAAAGTCGACACAACTCAATGATATTAGGCGAGGCTCGTATACTCAGCGTTGTACTTGCGCAGATTCTACTGATCAATTCTTGCGACTTCAATGTTATTCTGAAATTTGTTTGCTATCTAGACCTCGGGTGGCCAGATGCACCTTACTAGCCATTTCGATCTGACAATCACTTAGTGTCACTTCAAGCTCAAGGATCAGTCGTTTACCGTGATTGTGCAATTACGAATTGTTAATCGACTCGGGGTAGTATCAATAAGATTTGATCGATATAATTGTCGCTAGACTTTGTCAACTTGCACCGACTGACTTCACAAGTTCATACACAGGGTGACAAGTCGAACGGTAATCTATCCGTCTTGTACAACAATATAATCGGCCACAAATGCCAGGCGGGCAGGAAGCCCAAGAAAAAATGCGTCATTTTACTTACACATTCCTAGAGAAACAAATTGTTAGACCGAAGTATGTTCATTGACATATTAGTTACCATGATAAGAAAAGTGAAGCGAAAGAACAACTTTTTAGCCAAACAAGCTCGACTTTACTGGTCCATTAAACAATTCTCGCAAAGCATGCTTTCTTGATCTACCGTACCTCTTAAATAATTGTGCCATATTACTTGTACTCATCCCACTACATAGAAAAGATAAATCAAGTTAGTGACGATATATTTGCAAGATACAATTCATGATAATTTACCTCATCTGAATTCGCCAAAGGTTCGTATGTCTTGTGTAAAGAACCAAGCTTCTGCCTGACCATTGCCTTAAGCTCAATCACCTTTGCATCTTCGTTGGAGCGATGCTTTCTGTTGGGACTACCGACAACTGGAGGCTGGTAGCTTTTAAGCAACAACGACGAAATCACAACAGAGACCGACGAGAAAGCCATCGCAAGACCAGCGCACGCGGGCGGCATCATTCGGTGAATAAGCGGAAAGAACATGCCAGCGGCAAGTGGAATACCCACAACGTTGTAAATAATCGAAAAGAAAAAGTTGATTTTGATGCGTTGAAAAACTACGCGAGATAGGTCCAAAGCCACTACCACATCTGTCAGCGCACTCTTTACCAAGACCATGTCAGCCTCCGCCTTAGCGATTTGTGTACCAGCCCCGATAGCTATACCAACATCCGACTGCGCCAGAGCTGGTGCGTCGTTAATACCGTCTCCAACCATGCAAACCACGCGTGATCTCATCGTCATTGGGTTTATTTGCGACTGCAGTGCCTTAATCTGAGATGCCTTCTCATTAGGCAGAGCTACCGCCTTAACGTGGTCGATACCCATTTGGCGTGCAATTGCACTGGCTGTACGAAGATTATCGCCGGTGATCAGCCAAACATCCAATCTCATCGACTTCAAGTGTCTCACAACAGCTGCAGCTTCTGGTCGAGGGGCATCAGCCAAGGCGATCACACCAACCAACTTGTCATCCACACACACCACAACGACGGTCTTACCATCGAGCTCCAAATTGTGCATGTGGGCACGCATCTTCTCGCTGATTTCAATTCCTTTCTCCTCACAGTACTCTATGTTGCCCACCAGCACCTTTACGGAGTTCGTTCGGGACGTTACAGGACTAGCAGCCACCACACCTTCGACACCACGACCAGGAACAATACGCACTTCTGTAGGGTCGTGAAGTTCGAGCATCTCATGCTCCGTTGCTGTCAGAACGATAGCCTTACCAAGAACGTGCTCACTCACACACTCCAATGAAGCGCCGTAATATAAAAGCTCACGAGGGGTATACATTCGATCGGCCACTACCACATCACAGACAGATGGATGCCCCACAGTCAAAGTTCCCGTTTTGTCAAATATCACAGTGTCAATGTAACGAGCTGTTTCAAGAGCACGACCACCTTTGATCAAGACACCATGTTTTGCACCGACCCCACAGCCGACCATGACAGCGGTAGGCGTAGCCAGACCTAGAGCGCACGGGCACGCAATCACAACGACCGAGATTGCGAACAGAGCCGACAAAAAGAAGTCATCTGCGTGGCCCTTGCTCATTGGACCCACCAAGTCAACTCTCCATTCTGTAGGTACGAGATTCGTTGAGAAAAGTAACATCCACGTGGCAAACGTCAAAAACGACAGAACAAGAACGCAAGGAGCGAAAATCGATGCCAACCAATCTGCGTACGCTTGAATGGGCGCTTTGTGCAGCTGAGCATCTTCAATCAGAGCACAAATCTGCGACAACGCTGAACTCTCACCACCCATGCAGCGAGATTCGATTACTAACGTACCCTGCTGGTTTACTGTTGAGCCGAAAACATAGTCGCCCTCTTTCTTAGTCACTGGCATACTCTCGCCCGTTAGCATCGATTCGTCCGTTGAACTAAAGCCAGACTTGACCACACCATCGGTCGGGATATTAGCACCTGGTCGAATACGTAGTAGATCACCACGTTGCACTAGTTCGATTGGAATTTCACGATCTCTTGCGCCATTGCCAATGATTAGTAGAGCGGTTTTCGGCTGCAGTCTCACCAGCTCCGACAATGCGTCCGCTGTCTTCCCTTTTGCCATCGATTCCATGTACTTGCCGAGTGTCACAAAAGTTATAAGCATTGCTGACGACTCAAAAAAGTGGTGTCCATAATAATTTTCGTGTAACGCTGAGCCAATCAACGAAACAAAACTGTACGCATACGACATACTCGTACCAGCCACGACAAGAAAATCCATCCCCATCGCGCCATGCTTAAGTCCTTTCCATGCAGCCACGTAAAATCGCCAACCAACGCCAAATTGCACAGGTGTTGCAAGTAAAAAGAGTAGCAAAAGCTTTACTGTTACAGCGTTGAAAACGGGGGTCCTCAGAACAATCTCCACCGAGGGAATATACATAAGTACCATGTGAATGAGCATTGCGGGTAGGGAAAAAATCATGGCCCTAGTTAGCAAATTGCGCCATTTCTTGGCTTCTGAATTGCTCAACGCATTTTGTTCTGTCGTCTCGATCACCATTTCAGCAGAATAACCTAAGCCATGGATACATTCCAGTATGTCCCGCCTTCCGGTTTTCGACAAAGGTTTTAAGTGCACGTGAATTTTATTTGCCTGCAAATTGACCAGCACCTTCGTCACACCAGGCAACTTGGCCACGGACGCCTCAATTTTGTTCACACAAGCAACACTACTCATGCCCGTGACTGTAAACTTAAGCTCCAGTGAGTCGTCATCATTAGGTTCTACCACGTGTGAGAATGTAGCCTTGTAACCAGCATCTTGAATGAGCTTTTGTAGCGCTGATTGCTCATTCTGAATCAAGTCACGGTTGAATAAAATCTCAGCTTTCTGACTGATTAGTCCCACACGACAATGTAGTACACCTTCGGCCTTACACACATAGTCTTCGATAGCCTTCACACACGCAGCACAACTCATGCCTTCCACATGATACACGGCGCGCGGGTGACCTATCGTATCAACTACATCAATAGCCACATTTTCGATCGCTTTATAGTTTTGATTTTGCGCCTGTGACTTGATGGCCGCGGCCTTTGCGGGATCATATTTACTGGCCGAAAAACCGACACTCATGAGAACATCTACTAGCTCTTCAAACGTTGCGCTGCCAACTTGTTCAAGCATCACGGTGGCCTTGCACTTCTCAAAGCTAACAACGGCATTCGATACACCATCGATGCTTCGCAGCGCGTTCTCAACGGTTGTACCGCAATTTTTCTGGCACATCATTCCCTCGACTACCAATTCGATTGTCAGTAGGTCTTGCAACTCGCTTTCGAGCCCAATGTTCGAGAACGTCTTTACTGTAGCACTAACCCCGACGTTCTTTAAGGCATTTACGAGCTCGTTGGATGTTATGCTTGAGCCTGGGACACACTCAATGCGTGCGCTTTGCTCTTCAAAGTTCACGACGGTACGGGCCACACCGTCTACACTGCAGAGCGCGCTCTGTACCGTGTTGCCGCTACTTTTCAAGCATATCTTACCTTCAAGCGCAAGCTCCACAACTAACGGTTGAGGTTGCTCCGTCTCGGCAGCCATACTTCCGCTTGTATGGGACGCGTGTATTGCTTCTGAGCAGAATTATATGTGACCTATCTCACAGTTGCTCGTTTTTAACTTCCCCATGTCAAGGTAAATTTTCATTATTGGGTAAAATACGACTGAATCTTCTTAAATGATTTTCGTTGAAAGCATAATCGATTTTTCAGATTTGGTGACACCAGTCGCAAGTTTTCTATGCAGAAGTAAGCTGGGTAAAAAATGTACAGGGTATGGAGATGAAATTTAGCAGCTGAGCGAATTAAGTGACGTATTGGTGTGGCATCAGCTATGCCCAAATTTACTACAGTATGTCGGTGACAAGATACATGATTGTGTCCATCGGCCTTTCTGCATCGCCCACACTTGTACGGTCTGCGTGCAATTGACCCACTGTGAACTCATTTTGGGATCAGATTTGCCATTCGCATGGCCTTCCGGCCAGAACCTCGTCGTGTGTAACGGGGCACGTACCATTATGGTGTACGTGATTATTACATTTATGCCTTTGAACTTTGAGTGAAGCTCAGCAGTGCCAAAAATATTTGATACGGAAGAGGGTGATGGGATTGTAAAGGAGAGGTCTGTTGGGCAATCGCGCTGCAAGCCTAATATGGATTTTGCTTTTGCAAATTGTAAAAGCGATATTAAGTACCATGTCCAGTCATTGACTTCGCGAAATTCTAAAAGTGGGACTGCTGTCCTCCAAACTCCAACGAAGCCTTTTGATCCTTTGTTGGCGAAATGCAACGGAGTTACCGCGCACTTTAAACGGAGGGAGCCTCGACTTCACGAGTCTGTAGTTTCCCTTCGCTCTCAATTGAGCGGTACGAAGGGTCGATCTCCCACGCAAGGACATATGACGGTGCCCTCACAGGCAAACGTCAAGTTCCAGTTGGCGTCAGACAGCCTACTGGAAAAAGACCGACTCCATTGTATCTCATGGAGATCATGGTGAATATTTCTTGGTCCCGAAAAGAAGCTACTTTTGTTAAGAAAAGTGGGTCTCACAGTCTTGGGTTGTTTGTTTTTGACAGCAATGTCCCAGGTCTTTAGAGGCCGTGAAAAGTCATGATAGATCGAGGAGAGATTACGACGCGAAATTGTGAAAAACAGTAGACAGTATGCGGAGGCATTAAAGCTGTCAAATACAGATTTGATATACGTGCGTCTTGCGGCGGGAACACAGGCCGAAGTGTCCGATATGACATTGACCCTTCAAGTGAATTTCGAGTACATTGTCAATGTTGAACGTTGTTCAGTCTTGGACCCCGACTGAAAAAACCATCTCATCCCAGGTATGGCGCGGTTGAAACGCCATGAGCTTTGATTTAATTATGAGTTGGGAAATCTAGGTGCCGCGCACTTCTCTCTTGGTGAAGCAACCAATACGAGTGTAGCGGATCGCAATCCGCTACCTCCAAGTACTAAAAAATTAACCAAGGCAAACGAACACTTTTGCTCAAAACTCAAACTGTATCTGATTGTTTTAGCTGCGGCAGAGCCGCCGATATCTAAGACCTAGGTTTTCCCGATTAATATAGTAATGCTTAATTAATAGAGCAAAGCCTATTTGATACAGTGATATTCATTACTACTGTCAATCCTGCGCTTCTTGATACGGTATAGCCGCACCACTGTGTGATTACACCAAATTGTGTAATACACACCGAAATGCGACCCGCCTTTTCATACAAGGGTACGTAGAATCCCGTTACACTCTTCCCCATTAAAAATGTGAATATCCCCAATTCACATTTAACGATCGCCCCATTAAAGGCTCGAGTGTCTGAGACACCTTAAGGTTCCTTAAGAACAACTTTAAACACTCTCCGCTCTATGAGCCCTGTAACGGGGTTAAACGTACCCTGGTAACAGGTAAGGTGTCACACGAGATGGGCATGGTGTGACTGTACCCAAAAAAAATACGGTACGTGGCTGGGTAGCCAGTAGTTATGCATGTATTTAGATTTTCTATATTTATTTAGGAAAATCTTTACATTTAAAATTAGGCTGTTTAGCCGCAAGTAAAAATAAATTAAAATCAGTTTTGAATTTAATCCGAACAGTCTTTTAGCCTTGGTTACGGTATTAACTACTCTTGGAGGTAGCGGATCGCGATCCGCTACACTCGTACTGGTTCTTGTGAGGAACGTAAGGTCGGTGACCTTACTTAAGCTTCCTCTAAGGGTAAAGCTACGGCAGCCCCGCTGCACTCGGTAGCACTTGTAGTCAGTCTACACCTGCGCCGTTTAGACTGACCCTATATGAGGATTGAACAATTTTCCTCTTTGCCCCAGGGCATGCAGGACGGGCTGAGGGCGTGCAACACCTTGCTGCGCAAGGCCCTGAGGCAATCGGTGCACGTCTAGAGGCGTTTTCAAATTACGAAATCGCGCTGCTAGAGCACCTGCAGCAGAAGATGTCTGCATCATTTGCG